CCCCCCTTCAGATCTCCCCAGCTTTCCCTGAATCTCTGGAACTCCGTGTTCCCGAGGACGGTCCTGCGACTGGTTGTTTTGGCTCTTAGCGGCTCTTTCCTCGTAACTATAAGTATACAATGAGCCGCGATCCAAATCTATGAATTTCAGGCTGTCACTTTGTAGCATAGAGGGGTTTTGTATGAAGGCGGAAAATTAGGACTCGTTAAAGCTAATTAGCTCAGCTTGTGTCAGTGTGCCACATGCTTACAGACTGTGCAAAGTATGTAGCTTCCCCTAACAAGTTGCAGAAATATGAGAAAGCCTCTCACCAGTTTGTGGTCACCATTAATGGAGTCATGAGATACTGTGCACCCTGTGTGCCCCCAGAGGGTGACAACCAGAGTCAAAAAGATACGGCACAGAACCATCCATTCCCATCCATCCTTTTGAGGAGTTTATGCTGAAATGTTCCCACCCGCCTTGTCAGATAGTGGAGAAGGAAGCAGTGCTGTATCAGTGATCTGTATACAAGGTGACAGTGTGTTCCATGTCAGATAGTGGAGGAGGAAGCAGTGCTGTATCAGTGATCTGTATACAAGGTGACAGTGTGTTCCATGTCAGATAGTGGAGAAGGAAGCAGTGCTGTATCAGTGATCTGTATACAAGGTGACAGTGTGTTCCATGTCAGATAGTGGAGGAGGAAGCAGTGCTGTATCAGTGATCTGTATACAAGGTGACAGTGTGTTCCATGTCAGATAGTGGAGGAGGAAGCAGTGCTGTATCAGTGATCTGTATACAAGGTGACAGTGTGTTCCATGTCAGATAGTGGAGAAGGAAGCAGTGCTGTATCAGTGATCTGTATACAAGGCGACAGTGTGTTCCATGTCAGATAGTGGAGAAGGAAGCAGTGCTGTATCAGTGATCTGTATACAAGGTGACAGTGTGTTCCATGTCAGATAGTGGAGAAGGAAGCAGTGCTGTATCAGTGATCTGTATACAAGGTGACAGTGTGTTCCATGTCAGATAGTGGAGGAGGAAGCAGTGCTGTATCAGTGATCTGTATACAAGGTGACAGTGTGTTCCATGTCAGATAGTGGAGAAGGAAGCAGTGCTGTATCAGTAATCTGTATATAAGGTGACAGTGCGTGTCTAGAGATAGTGGAGAAGGAAGCCGTGCTGGATCAGTAATCTGTATATAAGGTGACGGTGTGTGTCTTGTCAGATAGTAGGGGAGGAAGCAGTGCTGGATCATTATCTGTACATAGGGTGACAGTGTGTGTCTAGAGATAGTGGAGGAAGCCGTGCTGGATCATTATCTGTACATAGGGTGACAGTATGTTCCTGTCAGACAGTAGGGGAAGAAGAAATACCGGTCTGTAGGAGGCATCTCACCCAACATCAGGGAGAGCATACTCCCCGATACCGTCCCTTGTGGGAATTGAACTCGGGACTCCATTTTTAAGAACTTAGTTTTTCTGCTACCTTTAAGTGGAAATCCTGTGAAACATATAAAAAGGTACAAGAAGGGGGCTGCCATTGACGGTTCTTTTTAAAAGGGGTGAACTCCTGCGCTAATAGGTAGTCAATCAATGACCTGTGATGTGGCCAGCGAGGTCGGACATCATAGTCCATTTAGCGGTAGAGTAAGGCCCCTTTCAAACACGAATACCCCTGCTGATCGGAATCGAGAGGCGCCCGTGTGAAAGGGGCCTGAGAATTAGGATGACCACCCTGAAGCTTTCATCTTCAAACACAAGTCGACAAGAGCAGCTTCCACATTTAACATTGCGACAGGTTCCCTTTAATGCAGTCATGACTCCTCCTGCCACCGTTATCGGTGACAATCGTGTAAATGCTACAAATCAACCAAATACAAAACACGGGTACGTTCGCAGTGCAGCTATTGGCTCCTCGGGGAACAATCGTATGAGTTTTTTCCCGCGGCGGGCCGTCGCTGAAGATTGGAATAGGGCGCCGCGCCAGGATATTTTTGGAATGCGTTGGGACCAGCGAGCCAAAATATTCCGATCTGATTTACAATGATGTGCAACTCGCTCTTGCGGCATGTATTGGCAGGGACTTGGACGAGAAGAATGCGGGCAGTTAGTACGTGTAAATCATTGTGGAGTAATGACTTGTTTATTCCCGAATTAACATTTAACATCTGGGGAAGAGCAGTGAGCATGAAGGCGGCCATGACAGGGAGCGGGAGATACTCTTAAAGTCTCAGAGATTCTCATCAGTCCTTGTGCAATAGAGGTGATAGTGTAGCCTGACTATTGCGTTGTATAATACATTGTGGGCTTGTTCACTTCAATGCGGCTTGCTGTATTTTTTGCGTTTGCAGTGGAACGGAACGCAGGCAAAGTTTTGCCACGCGTCGAATCGCACTGCAGGCGGGGGAGGGGGGGGGGGGCTGTCTGCAGTGCCATTCAATTCAATGCACCGCCACGCCCCCTCCTGCCCCAGAACGCAGGGGGAAGTTTTGTGAGGGATTGGCGAGTGCGTTGCAGCAGCTACCGCTCTGGAACGCACCACATTCGGTGTGAACAAGCCCTGTACTGCCATGGCATTATAGAATATAAATCAATGGGTTCTTATTATCGAATGTTCTTCTCTTTGCAGATATTGATGAGTGTGCGAGTGAATCTCATCACTGTAACCCCACCCAGGTGTGTATAAACACGGAGGGAGGATACACATGCTCCTGTACGGAGGGGTATTGGCTGCTCGAGGGACAGTGCTTGGGTAAGATCTTTTATCGGTTTCTTTCCAAATGAATGCGTGTGACTGAAACCTTCCACAGACTGAAGTGCTGCTGCACCCAAAACTTTTTTTTAATGGGGAGGGATTAAACCCCCCCGTCAGGTATTTATTGCCTTCTGTGTCCCCATTAGTGAGATTTGCCTCCAATGGGGACACTAGTTCTGTTGACCCTGCTGACCACCAGGGATTTCCCTCACTTTTGGGGGGACTTCCGCTCGCTTCCTGTTGTGGCTTTGGTACAGGAAGTGAAGAAAAATCTCCCTAATAGGAAACGTATCGCAGAAATAAAAGCAGATAGGGGTTATAACTAGAGTAGAGCTGCAGCTAACGATTATTTTCAAAATCGATATGCACCGATACCGGTTTTTCCGTATCTTGTACTAATTATTTTTTTCCCCGGTACTCACCGATACCGAATACAAATAGTCACATTAGGGAAGCCAGGCGGTGTGTAATGACTTGCCACCCGGCTTCCCAATTTGCAGGGAAGTCGTCTCCATGCTTCTCGTCACTAGGTGACGAGAAAGCATGGAGCCGGCTTCCTGGCCAATCAGAGTGCTTCCAGATTGGTCAGCTTCCCAACCAATCAGGAAACCGGGCAGAGAGTCATTACATGCTGCCCGGATTCCTGATTGGCCGGGAAGCCGGCTCCATGCTCCCTAATCACATGTAACGAGGGAGCTGGCTTGACGGCCAATCAGGAAGCTGGGCAGCATGTAATGACTCGCTGCCTGGCTTCCTGATACCGGAAGCTCAAGTATCAGGCTAGGTATTGGAGCATTTGGGCCAGTACGAGGACTCGCCCCAAATACTCGGCTTTGGCACCGATATTAGTATCAGTGCATTCCTAGTTATAACCGTCACTTACCATATCCAAAACTATAAAAAAAAAAAAAGATTTCAGTTTTCTTTAAGACGGTGTCACCCAGAGCGGCCACCGGGTGACACCCCGCTGTAACGTACTTTTAGCTGCCGGTGGCCATCTTGGTGAGAGAGGAGGGGACATTCACCAGGCGGGATAAGATATGCCGCCGGGTCCTCTCCTCTCTTGTGCAATGTCAGGCTGTCGGTCCGTGACCAAGTGCCCAACTTTTCAGAGGGGGTGACACCAAAATGACTGTCAGTAATGTTGGTGTCACTCCCTCCAATGGTGTTGCCTGGTTGCGGGCCGCACCCCCCTAGTGACGCCTCTGGCTTTACATACTATTTGTTTACATGATTACATTTTTTTTTTTAATTCAAGCCGTGTGTGTACCTGAATATGACCTGGTATCAGCCTAAGAGGAGACAGAGGTGTGATAGAGAGAGGATCTCATCAGTCGCTGCTTCTCCTTTTTCTGTCCAGTCAGAGGCTGGGGGAGGGACAAGACCTGGAAGTTACTGAACTGCAGAAGATTCCAATCGGGTCTTCTGCCATGTCAGACAGGGCTGTGCAACGTGGCAGAGCTGTGTAAAGCTCAGGAGTGGATGCACACACATACCAATCCTTTAGCAGGTAAAACACCTGTAATATATTTGATCCGTGTATTCCGCCATTCGTCTGGAGTTCAGGATCAAGTCTGAGTTGTGTTTGATTCTTATAGTTATTGGGGGGTGACTCTGATGGGCCTGGGAGGGCGACTCTGATGGGCCTGGGAGGGCGAAACTCTGATGGGCCCGGGGGATTACTCTGATGGGCCCGGGGGTGTTCCACAGTCTATGAAGGGTAGATAGAGAGGAAAGAGACTTTCTGCCTCGTGGAATATTACTGTGACTGTTTTGTTTGAACCTTATTGCCGTTCTTTCCCGGCGAGTTGGGACTCGGCCTCGTGTATGAAGAGTGTTTTGTATTAATATGAAGGATGTCTGAGTCGAGTTATCACATTGTACTCCTACAGCTGGATCTGATGTCTTCATAGCAGGCAGTAATACAGCGGTTGGATAATTTAATACCTCCAAGTAACTTAATAAACCACAAACCCAGCTGTGCAACAGACCCCACGTGTGCCGGTGTGCAAAAACATCCGTACCACATACTGGACCCTTATTCATCCAAAGCAAGAGCTCCTAGCAATGGTACCCCATCCGTGGTGCAATTCTTGGGCCATTGCCCATCTTCTCCGCACACGGGTAGCAGGGAAGAGGTGACATTGGTGGGAGGATGAAGGGGGGACAGATTGATGATGATCACATCTCGTCGCTCAATATCGCTTGTAGCTCGTCGCTGGTAGCTTGTCGCTCCTACATGACCCTTTTTTCGAGCGATTTTGCTCCTGATTGCATACAGCCCAATAGCGACAAGTCGCTCAATATCGATCATATAAAATCGCGCGGAAAATTGCACGATTTTCATGCCGCTCAGTGTGCATGGGGCCTTAGTGATCAGTCTGCTGCAGGCAGGAGGAAGCGTTTCCTCAGTCTCCCCCTCCCCCAGTGATCAGTCTGCTGCAGGCAGGAGGAAGCGTTTCCTCAGTCTCCCCCTCCCCCAGTGATCAGACTGCAACATTGTAACTTTAAGAAGCTGCAGCAAGGCTGACACTTGTGAACACAACCAAAATCTGCACCAGCACCGGGATTTACATGATTGAAATAATCGTGTCATCTCTGTGCTGACATGCAGGAAGTGCTGAGTCCAGGAAGTAGATGGTGACCCTGGATGATGCCTGCACAAAGGTGGCACGGTCTTTTTGGAGAGTAAAGCTGATGAAGGCATTCAGGGCATCGGGAGAATACTGTAATCTACGTGAGAATTAAAAAAATACCTGAAAGGGTTAAACTAACACATTACTCAGCATGCCGTGCCTTAAGAAAATACATCTGATGCTCACTTTGTGTAATAAAAAAACAAATGACAAGTAGATATAAAATGCTGACACACGTACCTGCCGCAGATTTAAGGCCCCATTTACGCCAGGGCGACAGCGTTTCGGCGCGTTTTTGTGCATTTGTATGCGCATTTCAACGCTGAAATGCGATTTTAAAAAACATGCAAATTCATGTTTCCATTGAAGTCTATAGGAAAACCGAGCTGATCAATGCCACAAAAGTAGCTCAGGGAGCACCTCGGGCGACAGGCGTATTGGAATGCGCGATTTCCGCGCGTTTGCGTGAACGGCCCTATAGGAATGGATGGGATTTTAAATGTTGGTGTTTTCAGCGCGGACAAATCCGCACGACTAATACCCCCCGGTGTGAACGGGGTCTAAATCCTACAAGTCGGGCTGCCGGACTCTGAGGAAAGGCAAAGGTGGTACTTCTGGGTTCCAGCCTGAAGCAGTGGTGTCCACTAGTTTAAAAAATGGGGACTCTGCACCAATGGGGAGGCTGCAGAGCAGAGCATAGCACGGCCAGGACCAAGAGTGCAAATGTAATGTGAATTATTTATATACAGGTGAAACTGGAATAATTAGAATATCGTGCAAAGTTCATTTATTTCACTAATGCAACTTAAAAGGTGAAACTAATATATGAGAGAGACTCATTACATGCAAAGCAAGATAGTTCAAGCCGTGATTTGTCATAATCAGTGGCGACTCTAGGAACAATACATAGGGGGGGCACATAAGATACCACAGTCAAAACTGGGGGGGGCACTAATAATTTTCACCACTAAATCATACCTGTCACTGTCAATAAAATGGGTCTGTCATCCACACCGCACATTACTATGTTTTGTTGCTGTAGAGCTTTGTGATACACATGATCCAGGCACAGTGTGAGGGATGGAGTGCCCCAGACGTAAAGGATATTTAAACCCTCCCGTTTTTTTGTATATATCTCCTGCTAGCAAGCAGTAGATATATGCAAAAAGTTTTTTAAAAAACAAAAACGCTCAAACAGCAGTTTAGACTGACCTGTGTTCCGTGCGCGGTCCCGCGCCGAAAATGAGAAATTTCTCGAGCGGCCGTAAAGGATCTTGGGGGCACGCATTTCTCATTTTCGGCCGGGACGCGACGAGGGACGCAAGGTAAATCTATGGACGCGTGCACCCGCATGCAGACACCGCTGGATCGGAGAAACAGAGCAGTCAGCGCTGGATCGGAGAGCCGCTGCACCGCTGGAGAGAAGGCTGAAAACATCAGGAAAGGAGAGGAAGATCGGAAAAAGAGATATCATTTAAGGTAAGTGCTGACACTAACATTGGGGGGAGGGAAACTTTTTTTTGCATATATCTACTGCTAGCAAGCAGTAGATATATGCAGAACCATAAAAAAAAAAAACTTTTGCAAAGGGTTCATACTTACCTGTGTCTATATATAGATATATAAATTTACAATTTCCAATGAAAACTGGAACAACTGGGGTACATGTCGGGTTGCCACCTTTTCTTCAAGTGAAACCTGAACAGAATATAGAGGAGAGAGCGAGGAGAGGCAGCCAGGAGAAAGAGCAAGAGGAGACAACCAGGGGAGGGAGTATAGAGACTGTCTGTAGAGGACTACAAATCCCAGCAATATATTAGATAATAGACATGTGCACTGCCAAAAAATTTGTTTCGTTTTAAATTTGGATTTGTTTGGATTTGTTAGCGGTAGTTCGTTCGAACGGTCGTTTTTTTTTCCGTTTCTTATTCGTTTCGTTTGTTTGCAGCAAAGTGACATTTGAGGGGGAAAAATGTTTTTCTCCTCCTAATGTCACTTTGCTCCAACGAATAAGAAACGAAAACGAAACGAACGTGCTACCGAATTTCGGAAACGGAAATTTCGGATTAGTTTGCATTCGTTATATCTGTAATTCGGATACATCCGAATTTCCGAAAATTCGTCCGAATTTCGATTCGAAACGAATCGCACATGTCTATTAGATAACAATACAAAATAATATGAAGCTACATACTCTGTGTTGTTCTTGGGTGGCCTGCGCGGGCTCTCGGGTGGCCTGCGCGGGCTCTCGGGTGGGCAATGCAGAATCTCCGCGCTTGCTGGTGACTTTGGAAGCCTCATCTGTCAAAAATTTTAAAGTACTGGCATTGGCACTGAGTGTCTTGTGTCCGGGTGTCAGCTGGCTAGAAACCCGGACACAAAACTCCAAAAATCGTACTGTCCGGGTTAATCCTGGACAGGTGGCAAGCCTTGGTACATGTGAAGTATCGCTGATGTCAGACGGGTGGCTCTGTTGCGACATCTTGCTGCATCTGCCCACAAAGGAAGCAATTCCATAGGGACAGATGGGGCAGCCTCCATATTGATCCCGCTATTATGTCTAGCGGCAGAATCGTCCGTCAGACATGAGCCTACTGTGGATGGCGCCCTTTCCAGAAAACCCAGAGCAATTATTGTTCTGATTGTAGTTCATTGGTTCAAACAAGATGCTTTTTCTTAGTTTGAACACTAGAGGGAGCACTATTTTTATCTCAGCCAAGAGCAGATGACACTATAATAACAATAAGTGTCTCAAACTGCCTGCGATGCATTGATGGAGAATACATTTTTTTTTGGCTAATATAAAGGCTAAAAATGTAATCCATCACCAAGAAAAGAGCACTAAGAGCGGCAGCAGCTCACTAATTAGATAAAATGACATATGCCAATGTCTACATCAACACAGCTAATCATCAAAACTGCCCAGATCTATTTATTAGGAGTGCAGCCATGCAGAAAAATTATCTGCGATGTTCAAGCAAAGGGCTTTGTTTAGAGATCTTAACTCCATACAGCTTTCCCTATGTAGACAGAGATTGACAGAACTAATTTTCCTCCCTTGTTTACTCAACAATGGCAGTGTTAAGGTGACACTAAACTCCGGAGTTAAATGTTAAAAATACATTCAGGTTCCTTAATTATTAACAATGTGTCCTATTTGTCTATCACTCGGCTGTAGATCCTCCAATCATCTCTGACACTGTCCTTCCTTCTGGAGGGGGGCTACGTCTGTTCCCCATGGTGCCTGTGTGTGTTGTAATGTAGTCACCGCTCCAAGCTCGCTCCCGTCATGGACTACAATCTCATGTTTAATTTACTATTTTTTGTAGGGATGCACCAATATTGTTTTTTCGGTATCGAGTACTGATATTTATCTTTCGGTATTTGCCAATACCGAGTAGCAATGCTGGTACTTCCGCTAGCATGATGCCGGGTATACCTGCCATGTCATTACGCGCTGCCCGGCTTTTTGATTGCCCGGGAAGCCAGCCTCATGCTGTTGGCCAGTTTCCCAGCCAAACAGCATGGAGCCGGCTTCCCGGCCAGTCAGACAGTCATTACCCGCCGCCCGGCTTCCTGATTGGCCGTGAAGCCGGCTCCCTGCTGTTTGGCTGGGAAGCCGGCTTCTTGGCCAATCGCACCTGTAGTCCAATCATTCTTCCTACGATCCCTGTAAGCTAACGTCCACACTTCGCTAACGTCCACACTTCGCTAACGTCCACACTTCGCTAACGTCCACACTTCGCTAACGTCCACACTTCGCTAACGTCCACACTTCGCTAACGTCCACACTTCGCTAACGTCCACACTTCGCTAACGTCCACACTTCGCTAACGTCCACACTTCGCTAACGTCCACACTTCGCTAACGTCCACACTTCGCTAACGTCCACAAACTTCAGTATGGACATGGACGGGAGGGACAATCTGCAGGAGCCAGAGCGTTGCACCTACCATGCACTGATCATGGGTGCAATGCTTTACTGGCTCCAATGCAAAAAAAAAAGGTACTTTTTTTTTTCTCTTGAAGACGATGTGCTTATTTTTTACAAAAGTGAACTTTACCTTTTGTCTGTGAGCTCTCGTAAACCAGGACCGCTTGCATGACATTCCTCCTTTTATATGTAGTATGTTTTATTTGCAATTTTACAATGTATTTGTTTATGCCATTTAATGTAGAATTCATTTACATTTCCTTTTGTTTAACTTCAAACCTTGCTTTCCAGTGCAGTATTACGCATATGTTGACACGTAGTATATCCCGCATTAACAAGCAATCTGTTCAGGCAGCCTATTTATTTAGTACCCAACACACTGTGCTGGAAGGAAAAAAAATGTTTTTATATGCAAAACACCACAAGGCACTGTATGTGTGCAGGTCAGTCGGCACCTACTGAATTGTATAGTGGCGTTTTGTTGTAAATGAAAGGCACCCATGCAGGGTGCCATGTGTTGCAGTTCGTTTTATTGCATGTACTCACATAGGTGTGAAGCCTGCCAAAGGGATTATTCACTTTACACAACTGACGAGTGACGAATACATTTTATTTCAACCTTCATATTTTTAAATGCCTTTTCTTCCATATTTTTGTTTTATTATTCTACTAAATTTAGAGAGTTATAAAGTAACCCCCTAGTGGGATCTCTTCATGCCAGATAGGCCACAGCTGCCCTAATGCAGCCCCTTCTACCCCCAGGCCCCATAGCAGCAGCAGCGTGGGCTACTATAGGGATTGTTAACACTGATGACTTCATATCCAATATTGCAATTGTTTTAGATTGTAAGCCCCAAGGGGCAGGGCCCTCCTTACCATTTTGTCTTGTATTGTAATTGTAATGTCTTCCTTATATTGTAAAGCGCTGCGCAAACTGTTGGCGCCATATCAATCCTGTATAATAATTCAATTTTTTCAGCTGAACTTTCAGCAACTATTTCAACTTTCAGGTATAACCTAATGTATCATTATTTTGGATCTAGGGAAGTATTGGTGGGGGGGCGCTCTACCCATAGAAACCCACAACCTGGTGAGGTTTTCTAATCTCAAAAGGCAGCTCTCCATCATCAAGGGTATCCCATGGGTCCCCAGAGCAATCCAAAGAAAGGGTGTGAAGGGCGAGAGTGCCACAATGTAACTAGTCCAGCATAAATGTATCAAATAAATTAATATTTTGACTTCTATATTATATTAATTTTATATGTATCCATACGATGGAGGTTAGACAATACTGTTGGATACATGCATGTGCTGCTTGTTCAGTTTTGCGCATGATTCTTTTTAGATTTACATCTGGCAAATCGCCACAAGATGTTTATTTCCAAAAACTCCTAATGAGCTCATTTTAGCTTTATACCGATATTGTTTTTACAATTTATGTTTCTTAGCCCCGATGAAAGAGTTGTGAGGACCCATAATGCATTGCCCATTTCTTACAGATTAATACATTTATACTGGACTGACCATATTGTTGTGGTGCTCCACTCTTCACATCCTTTCTTTGGATTATTTTGGATCTGGAAGCAGCACGTACGTTAGAAGAGGCTGAGCCCTAAAAGATATCAGATACTGGTGGAAGGAGGGGGGAGGGGTT